GAGTATATGAAATTAAATTTCTAGGTGTCATAGTTGATGGCAAATTCTCCTGGAACTCTCATATCAGATATGTTCAGCACAAAATAGCAAAAAATATATCGATTTTGGCAAGGGTTAGATATATTTTGGACATAAAAGCACTATGCATTTTGTATTCCTCATTGATTTTACCATACTTAGAGTATGGCGTTGAAAACTGGGGAAATGCATACAAAACCTCACTTCAACCATTGTATATATTACAAAAAAGAACGATAAGAATTGTGCATAAGATGGGGTACAGGGATCACACCAATGTAGCTTTCATACAGTCTAAATTGTTAAAATGTTTTGATTTAGTGGGATATAAGACTGCTGTGTTTATGTATAAAGCCAGGAACAATTTATTACCTGGTGGAATTCAAAAACTATTTAATGAAAGGGAAGGGGGATACAATTTAAGGGGTCAGTTAAATTAAAAAATTCATGCTATACGTACAACCAAAAAAAGATTTTGTATTTCCATAAGTTGGGTTAAAAAGGTTTGTAAAAATACATTTCACAGTTTATCTGAATCATAATATTAAACCCAGCAGTCTAATATCAACAATTCAAGCAGAGTATCTCTGTCCTGAGCTGAGGTGCATGGACACTAACACAAAGAGAATTTAGCATTAAGAATGTTTAGTCCAAGGACTGTGGACTTTGTCCCCTTTCACTTACACCGATTGTGGAACGATTCTCTTCAGGACCAGTATTAAAAAGAGGACTGACTGCAAACCTGCTGCAGTGTTCGTATGTCATTTTATGACAGATTTGAAAAATTGTAAACCTATCTTTTAGAGCTTAAGGTCTGAGTATTTGTTGTAATGTCCCTTTATATAGAAAATTCCACTATGAAATGTATTTTGGCTGCTTGTTTTCATTCCCAGTCTGTCTCTGTCCATGCCTGCAGACCAACATTAAGGAGACAGAGGTCACCATCCCAGCCAAGCTGCACAACTCTCTGATTGGCTCCAAAGGCTGCCTCGTGCGCTCCATCATGGAAGACTGCGGCGGCGTCCACATCCATTTCCCCTCTGAGGGCTCCGGCTCGGACAAAGTCATCATCAGAGGCACCACTGGTGAGGTGGAGAAGGCAAAGAAACAGCTGCTGCAGCTGGCTGAGGAGAAGGTAGGTGGGGGTGGGGACAGAATAACAAAGTGAAAGAACAGACAAGGCGACAGTCACTTACTTTTAAGGGACAAACACTTCCACCCTTTTCCTGTCCTCTTTCTTTGCTTCCATCCTCCCCACCTTTTTCAGCAAGTCAACAACTTCACAGCTGAACTTCAAGCAAAACCAGAGTACCATAAATTCCTGATCGGCCGTGGAGGGGCAAATATCCGCCGAGTGCGGGACAGGACGGGGGCTCGCATCATCTTCCCATCACCAGATGACACAGAACAGGAACTGATCACCATTGTAGGGAATTTTTTTTCCAGGCCCAGAAGGAGCTGGAGAGCCTTGTGAAAAACCTGGTAACTACCTCCGTATTGCTTGTTACTCATCATGGCAAATATGAAATGCGCCCATACAAAGGACTGAACAGATGGAAATTGCAAGCAAAATTAAGTAACTGTCAAGTCACAGGGGCAGCTGTAGAGCCTCAGATCTCCCCTTCCTCTCCTGCTCCAGGATAATGTGGTGGAAGACAGCATGACAGTGGATGGTCGCCACCACCGCCACTTTGTGTGTCGGAGAGGTCAAGTGCTGCGGGAGTTGGCTGAGGAATACGGTGGTGTGGCCGTGAGCTTTCCTCGTACCGGAGCTAACAGTCAGCGAGTCACTCTGAAAGGAGCCAAGGACTGCGTGGAAGCAGCGAAGAAACGCATCCAGGAGATCATTGAGGACCTGGTAAGAGACTTTCAGCAAATGAAGAGATGTTTGTGTTTTTTAAAATGTGTTTTTGCTGTGTGATATCACTGTAAATGATAAATAAACTTAATGAGACTGCTGCACAGACCTGTGTGCAGGTGAAAGATAAATTAAAGCAGTAATATCTAATTACTATGTAAATATGAAATACTGCCAAACATAGTTGTATTTTAAATATTAGACAGGAACAGGAGGCGACAAAGATCATTTAGTGACTTTGTTTGCAGTCAGTGCCGTTGTTACCCAGCTGTCTCTTCTCTTCCTCCCCTCTCTCGAGCAGGAGTCCCAGGTGAGCGTGGAGGTGGCCATCCCTCAGCGCTACCACCGCGCTGTTATGGGACCTAAAGGCTGCCGCATCCAGCACATCACCAGGGAGCATGAAGTCCAAATCAAGTTCCCCGAGAGAGAGGACAATACTGCAGGTCAGAAACAACACACAAGAGAAGTACACCTGCAGTAACACTGGAGTAAGATTGTTCATCTGTGGAAACTACAAATAGGGTATCCTATAAAAACTAACGTATCTTCTATGAGTGCATTTGATTTGATTTTGATTTTGATTTGATTTATTCTTTCAAGCATGTAAAGACAGTTGATATGTCAACACACATAATTTCACACATATCCAACAAATGCTAATCCAATATCAATTTACTTATACCTAGTACATGCTTGAATGGAGTAGGAAGAAGTCAGACTTATCCAGTCCTACCCCATGACATCATCTTACCATCATTGGTTTGCAAGCAGTATCTCTACATAGATAATTATCTTCTACACCACACAAGTAATATACTAAAGAATTATTACAAAGTGTTAACATTCATACACCACACCCACAATGTTCCATCTAATTAATCATTAAGCCTGTTCTTACATATATCTTGAATGACACATACCTTTATATTTATGTTTAAACTCGTCAATTCTATTACTATTTTTTATGTCCACACTTAAATTATTCCATAGTTGTACCCCACTTATGGAAATACAAAATCTTTTTTTGGTTGTACGTATAGCATGAATTTTGATATCTGGTGTCACCAATTAAATCTTCCTTGGGTTTATCTGTTCTACCAGCAAGTTCATCTTAACTGTTTTCTGATCTTACAGGTCAGGAAGCCCCATCACAAGAAAACGGTGAGGTCAGTCCAGAGACAGAGTTTGTCCCCCGCAAGTGTGACATCATCACCATCTCTGGGCGAGCGGAGAAGTGTGAAACGGCTAAATCTGCCTTGCTGGTAGGCAGCTGGAGACATGATGCTGTCTGGGGGTTTTTATCCCCCTCTCTGTCTTTTCCTTAGTAACAATCATGTGACTGCCTCCTCCTTCAGGCGCTGGTCCCCATAACGGAGGATGTCGAGGTGTCCTACGAGTTGCATCGCTACATCATTGGCCAGAAAGGCAGCGGCATCAGGAAGATGATGGAGGAGTACGAGGTTAGTGGACTCTGTGGTTCTCTGGTGCCATCTTCTGGCCAAGAGGCTGGCACCAGTGGTGATGTGAGAAAAGCTGTGGTAAATGTGATGCTTACATTTTATTGGTTATCCTGCTAAAACATTGTTTGCACGCGTTGTCTTGTGTGTGGTTTTGCATGTGCAGGTGAACATCTGGGTGCCGCAGCCTGAGAAGCAGCTGGATGTGATCAAGGTGACGGGTCTGGCAACCAACGTGGTGCGAGCCAAACAGGGTCTGCTGGACAGGGTCAAAGAACTGCAGGCCGAGCAGGAGGACAGGGTACACACACACACACACACACACACACACACACATAGTTATCATTACATCTCTTGTAGTACATTACAGCTCCTAATTACTTCCTTGGTATTTCAGCAGTTAAAGATTTGAAGCTTTATCTACTGTTGTATTTGTTGAGAGAATTGAAGGGTTAAAATGTCTAGGAAGTACTTTAACACAGCAAACACAACTACAATAACATTTTTCTTGTTTAAAGAGCGTCAGATTATTATTACCTCCTAAACCACTATTATCCTTCTGCATACATGCTGTTTGACAACTGTAAATGCATTGTCATGCAAAGTGTCATGTGGGTGTGCTGTGAAGACATGTAAATTTTTTGAGATCTCTGCTGCCCCGTCTCCTCCCAGGCCCTGCGCAGCTTCAAGGTAACCATGCCTGTAGATCCAAAATTTCATCCCAAGATCATCGGTCGCAAGGGAGCGGTCATCTCTCAGATCAGGAAAGACCACGACGTCAGCATCCAGTTCCCTGACAAAGGAGACGAGCAGCAGGTGTGTTGATTATTTTGTTCACACACTTCTCATCCCAAATCATTTCCGTCTTTTTAACCCCCGCTCAAGGTTCTTTGTTCTCAATAACTTGCGTACATTTTGCTCTTGGTGTTTGTCCATCTTCGGCCTCCGCTCCCAGGATCTGATCGTGATCTCGGGTTATGAGCGTAACGTGGAGGAGGCACGTCAAGCCATCCAGCAGTTGGTGGCCGAGTTCCAAGAGATGGTGAGCCAAGACATTCACCTGGACCCGAGGACCCATGCTCGCATCATCGGCGCCCGCGGCAAAGCCATCCGCAAGCTGATGGAGGAGTTCAAGGTTAGATGTTGGTGTGGGAATTTTATTTTTATTCTGAATTCAGAGATACAAGATTTTTTTTCCTGTTGTTTTTCATTCCACTTTCAGGTAGATATCCGGTTCCCGCAGCCAGGTTCCGACGAGCCCGATAAAGTGACCGTCACGGGCCTTCCTGAGACTGTCGACAACGCCATCGACCACCTGCTCAACCTGGAGGAGGAATATGTGAGTCTGCCGATCAACCAAGGAAGCGGCAGTCACACACACAGTTCCCCTGACAGACATACAGGAGGTGCTGTGCACAACAATGTGTGTGCAGAGGCTGTTTACAGAGCAGTCTTCCTTTCTTGTCCCTTTGCTGCTCTCAGATGCTCAGTGTGACAGAGACGGAGACCTTGGCAGCGTACATGAAGCCGCCGTCTCGCTATGGAGGTGGAGGGGGAGCAGGAGGGGTTGACGATAACAGCGGGGCTCCAGCTAAGGGCTTTGTGGTGCGGGACGCCCCCTGGAATGCAGCAGGGAACAAGGTGGGTTTTTACCTTACATTAACCTACAGCACGGGTACACACAGTATTATGTTTAACAGAGAACTCAGTGAATGATATTTCATTATTTTTCTTATTAAATATTAACTAGTTGAGTGGAGGAGCTGCTATACCTTCACCGTTGTACCCTCGGCGTGTTGTCATGTATCCCTGTCACTTGTGTGTATCAAACGCTTGGTGTCTGTTGATTTCCAGGCTCCTGACATGAGCAGTGCAGAGGACTTCCCTACATTTGGGACAACAGTGGCCCCGAAACAAGCGTCAGCCTGGGGCCCCAAGAAGTTCTGAAGCCACTCATCTGGAGGAAAAAAAAAAACTTCTGTAAAGTAGATAATGAGAGACGACAAATGTCTAATCAAATTGCTGCTCGCCTTCCTTCCTCCCTCCTCCTCTCCTCTCTTTAGTGACCTCCCTTATAGCCCTTTTCAGACATGGGATACGTAACATTTCTGGCTTCATCAGTCTGTTAAAGTGACAGCTTTCTGTCCTTCAGTCACTTTTACGTTAATGTTCCTCAGGGCTTCACTCACACTTACCCATGACCGTGACGGAGAGCACTACAGTACACATGCAATATTTGCCATACGTGTGCGATTGGACAGTAAATCAAGTGAAGTATAATGTAGAAGGCCAGAGTTTTCTTACTACAGCAGGGCAGAGGAACCTGAGAATTGTTTTTTCTCGTTATTGCTGTTTAGGGCATTCTCCAATACAATCATTTGTACAACTCGACATGTACCGACACATGCAGTGATATTTACTGAGGTTTTGTGGCTCATTTTTGGCACTCAACAGTGAAACTACATGCATTCTTACTTACTAAGGAGTTGCACTTAGGTTTTGTGTCAGAGAAAAGAAGAAATGTGGCACCGCAGGAATTTGTGTGTTTGGTCTCATGCACTATGTATTTTAAAGCGTTCCCGTCCAGGACACAGAATAAGGGAGGCGAGAATGGAAATGGAAAGAAATACTCTGGTTTAACTGCAACTGATATCTGACATCAGGAGAGAACAGGTGTAAAATCTGTGTCCCTGCTCTTAGCGTCCTCTGAGACCTCGTTGGAGTTAAGAACCGAAAGGCCAGAGGAGCCCGCTCAATGGCCAGAGGAGAACGAGGGACTTTTACAGGCTTCCAGGTCAAACCAGGCTTCGATTACTGAACAAAAGAAAAGATGATTTGGCTGCAGATGACTGTGATTGCACTTCCGAAATACATTTGCTGGTTTCTTCACCCAACATTAAAGTTCAGTAGCAGTAAACTTGCGCTCCCTCTCAGCCTGCCTGTGCACCATACAGGCACCAGGTCTTTAAGTGCACTCTAACACTGCTGCGGCTGTGCTCATCTACATCATCAGTGTAAACTGTGAATTGAAAAATTGTGATGATGCAGTTTTGTTTGCACCTGGCGCTAATTTGCAGCAGGTTTAGTAAATATTCTCCTCCTTGTGATTAGTAGGCCCACTACTGTATATGTAACATCAACTTACGTCAGTGCATCATAATCTTGTGGTGCCTGTCTGTTAATGCGACTTCATGTAGTTAAGCCTTGTGCCGTGTTAAAGTGCTATGTAAATGTTAGTAGAGCCTGTCGACCTGGTAGGATTGCTGTCGCGACTTTTACGGAAAAGTGACGCGGGTGCTCATTCAGACATGAAGCTGACACATACAGATGCCATCACATTAATGGAAAAGGGTGCATGTCTGAAAGGGGCTTTTGTCTCTCTGTAAACTATTTGTACTGTCCTCCCACAACCAGCCACAATGAATTCTGGGAGAACTATCATTCTTTTTCCCTTATGTCTCTTGGTACTTCCACCTCCTCTTTCCTTTTAAGACAAAAACAAAAAAGAACACGGAGCTCCCTCTTCATAGTTTTCCTGTCCCGCTCTGCCTCTCGGTGGCCCCACCTCTGCTGCTCCTGCTGGAACACTTCAGAAACTGTCCTCTGTTCTCACCTACACCTGCCCAAACTCTCCCTGCAACGTCCTCATTGTAGTACTTTAGAAATGCCTCTTCAGAGACTTTTGAGGCAGGGGAGTTGAGTCAAAGAGCGCTGGGAAAATATCCTCAAACAGCTGATCGGGACGCTTTCAGGGAGATGGTGGTATTCTTGGACTGAGTCCGAATTCCTGGATTTTTAAGCTTGCAGAAACCAGAAAGGGGACTCTGTGTTTTACTGTGCAAGAAGAGTCTGTAATCATCTCTTTACATTCTTTTCCTGTGGTTTTTATAAGGAGGTTTCTTGTCGGCTCACCTGTCCAGACAGTAATGTGGCGCAGCAGCTGAGGCGATGCGCTCTATGTGTGTGTCTGTGTGTTGGTGGGTTCAGGAGAGGTTTATTCAGCCGCAAGTGTTTGTAGGTCCCCTGTTTATTTCAGAGCTAGGAGCAAAAACGGCTGCTGTAGTCGGCTTCCTGGATGTTTTCTTTTTAAATGGTGACAAAGCCGAAGACGTGGAATTTGTGTGCTGGCTGTTTGTGGTGAAGGCCATTTTGTCACAACTGTTTATTTATTCAAAACGGAGCCATTTTATTTCAACTACTGTGATCATGCGTTTTTATAAAAGCACTCATTGTAGCTTGATGCTTTCAACTTGTGTTTGGGAGTGAATGTTGTATGAGATCATGTCAAGCGTTGTTATGTGTAAGTGTACAAAGAACTTTTTGCTATTTTTTTAAACTGTGTGGGATTTCTTTGTTGTTGGTTTCCGGTATATTTGAAAGACTATGTATGTGTGTGCGTGTGGAGGTTAAGATGTATATTTGAATGAAGCTGAACTGAACTTTTACACCGCTTTTGTCTGTTTGTGTCTCTGTTCTCGGGGGGATATAACCCTCAAGCTAACGGACACAATGCTGCTTAAAACCTGACCTCCTGAAAAGCAAACTTATTATCAACAGCTGCTCTGTGATTTCACATGCTTCACATGTATTTAGTGATATTTCGTAGCAAAAGCCTTGGTTGCTCTTATTCCAGTTCAGAGGCTTAAAACATTGAGGCCTATTGTTAAATTGTACAGTCAGTCTAGATTTCAGTCAGTTTAATCACTAAAGCTCACTCCCGAGGTCTAGAAGGAACAGTCAGGCATTTGGGGGAATATACTTACTTTGTCACTGAGAATTCAGTGAGAAGGTCGATACCACTCTCATGTCTGTGAGTGTGATAGCCTAGCTCACTGACAAGTATCTTGTTTGTTTAATCCAGTGTTTTACTTTTTTGTGGAGCCTTGTCGCCATTAACATTACCCCGTCGTTAGGATTTAGGATACAGTGAATAGGTTTACACAGAATTCAAAATGGTGGACAGTAAATGTAGCACCCTGTATAGAAAATGAATCAATTCATACCTGATTTCAGCAGTAACGAGTTCCCTATATACCAATTTTTACTTAGGTCGCCTTAATATGAAGAAATGTCTCTAAGTTTATTGTCCATGAATTGAGTCCTATAAAAAAAGATTTTATTTCAGTAAATTTTAGAACTGTTTAAACTATTGGAGAGAATTAAGAAAAAAAAAACATGGTCATACTTTTGTGCTGAAATGTTTTTGATTGGCCCAAGTTTCCAGCCTTTATGCTAAGCTAGGCTAATCGGATCCTGGGATGAGAGTGATGTCTATATTTTCATGTAACTCTTGGAAAATAAATGAGCATATTTCCAAAAATGTACTATTTTAAATGGCACTAAAGGGCCAAGAAGCCATTCAGGCCACAGTAAACAACTGTGGACAGTAGAAGGGAAAAAAAATCTCAGGATCCAACTTAAAAATAAAGGCTGGTGCAGAAGTGTCTCTTTACAGCTGCCGACGGATTAGTCAACTAAAGACTATGCAACAGGATCCTCCAGCAGATCACTGCCAGTGGTACTTTACTGTATTTAGCTCTAATTAGTGCATCATTACCTACATTTGTGGGACAAATCAACTAGTAATTTGTCTATTTTTAAAGGTTGAATTCTTTATTATTAAATTAATGTGTCTGTTTTTAAAAGGCAGCCACTAGTCCTGTAAAATCCCACTATTGGTCTCAGTTTACAGCATTTTGGAAAAACTGTGATTGAGTAAGTATGCAGGATTACGACAACATAAGTGACCAGACTTCATTTTCCCGTACCAAAAGCACCAGTAGGTTTTGTGTTTTCTTCATGGCATCTTTTTGTTTACCAGCCCCTGCCAAAGAAACACTTTTAACCAGGCTTCTGTGCATACTGTCAGTTATTTTTTATAAACCAGGAAGATATGATTTGTTATGTAACAGCCTGTACAATGCAATGTACAAAAAAAAAATTAATAATAATAATAATAATACAAATTAAATTGCACAAAGCAGCACTGGGCTGTAAATAACCCATATATGTTTCACATTTTTGATTGGAAGTTTTTCTTTTGCACTATAATCTTCAATTGTTCAGATTGTAGCTGCTTCCAGAGGGTGACAGAGCTTCTTTAATTATAGATTGTGAGTCTGTCCCATCAAAACAATGTAGGGATTTCATGTTCTATAGCAGGTCTATTCAAATTGGCAACTGGAATGAGAACTGAAAAAGAAAAACACTGGAAAGCTGCTCACGTCCAATCACTGGCAGGTGGATGTTTTGCATGAATTAAAACCCCTGTGTAACATTTTGACAATTATAAATCAGTGATGTTAACAGTACTACTAATGAATCACTTCCACATGTAAACACCAGCCTAGGGTTGCAGACATCCAAGGTGTTGGCTCTGGAGGTCCTGCTGTGTAAATGGACATGAGCAATGGAGGAATCGGAGCGGACGGGTGAGTGCACTGACTGTAAACAATGGGGTGTGTGAGAGTGATGTGGAAAACCACTTACACATTTTAGCTTCAGTTCATTTCACCACCTGTCATAGGAAAGTTTGACTTTTTGGGGAACTGCACTTTCTTGCCAAGAGCTAGATGAGAAGATTGATACGGCTCATGTTAGCTTAGAGGCTAAAAGCTGGCCTGGCCCTGTTTAAAGGTACCAACAGCTGCCTATCAGCACATCTAAAGCTCATTAGTTGGTTTAATCTGTACAAAAACCTGTGTAAAAGCATAAATCTGCCAATTTAATGGTGCAAACCATTTCCTGAACCAGTTGCTATGCAGCTGGTCTGGAAACTGATTAAGGAAATCATTCTAACCATAGCATATGAATTGTTAATCTGGACAAGAGTTGTGGTTAAGTTGTGTTGCGACACCCCTTCAGTTTACAAATGTGATTTACCTTGACTTGTCCACAGCCAGTGGGAAATGGCCTGTTCACAAAGGCTGTGATCAAGTTTTAACACACTGTTATCACACTGTCAAATTCTCACATTAATGTGTAGACAACATGCAAATAACACGTTGCTCCAGGTGCAAAGTTTGCACTTTTAACTATCCTTAAAGGAAATGTAATGAAAATCCTCTATGGAGTACCAAAAAGGTACGCAATTTGCACCTGCAGTCACACGTTTGCACATTGGCTACTCATACCTAATGCGTAAGGTACACAATAACAATCAAAGTACATGTTAAAACATGTAAACCCGTTGACAAAGCTTTAAAAGTTGATGGCGGCGTTTTTGAACAGGCCGTTCTGTAAACAGAAGGGGTGTCCGAACACTACTCAACTCTTTCTGTTGTCAACTTTAGGAAGATTATTTAGCGGTTTGTGATGTTGTCCTTTCACTTATTAGGTTTTTCATACATACAAACAAAAATACAAACAAACAAAATATTAAAAGAAAAACAATAAAACAATTCTTTTTTGCTGTGTGGTACAATTCGCTTTCAGTTTGGTACAGTTCACTGTCAGTTGACGTCACCCTTCCCTAGGTGTAATTTAAACATGCTGCTCAAATGTTTGGGATACGGTTTAGTATGTCATACCGTATGCCTACCATTCATATCAATTTAAAACATTTCAAGTGTAACCCGGTGGACAGCTCGGTGGTTAACACCCCTGACTTAGGTACGACAGGTTGGGGTTCGATTCTCTGTCAGGGGGCGGTCAATAGCGAGCATGGTGCCTTGTATCAAACCAAGCACCCCCTTTTCTTCCCTAAGCTGTGTTAACCAGTAGTGTATGTGAGAAACAGAAACTAGTAAATGTTCTAAATGGGTGCCTATACAGCAGCTGGATAGCTCAGTGGTTACCACCACTGACTTTAGTATGGCAGGTTTGGGTTCAATTCACTGTCAGGGCACAATATCAGCATGGGCCCTTAATGCTACCTGCCTAGAGAGGTATTACACAAATGCTACAGCAAAGGGGGAGCCAGGGCAGGGGGGACACATCATCCTCCCCACAGTCGGAGACTGAAGCTCACAAGAAAAAGTTTTTTCCAGTTGATTCTAGGATCATAATAAGATACTGTAGATGACTGAGTCTAGAGTGAAGATAAGTGAAGTGCCACCTGAAACCAGCAAGCTGATATACAGAAAGAAAGCGGGGGCGGTTCAGGAGGATTCCCGGCTTGTCTAGTCAATGTGTAAGCTATACAAGTATAAGACCATTTACATTTGTGGCTCAGGAGGTAGAGCGAAAAGAAAACGTAGAGCCACACTCGAGTGCTGTAAAGCATAGAAATGCGCAAATCTTTTATCTGCACACAGTCCAAGCTTTACTGTGGAAACTGTCATACCTTCATTTTTAATAATTTTCTCATTTAACTCTTGGTAAAAAAGCAACACTAGTGTACCACAACCATCTGTAAGGCTAAACATAATGTGTCATTATCTTACTCTGTTTTTAACTTCCATAAAAGTGCAGGTTTTTTCAGACATCTCTTTGTCAAACTTTCCAGTTTTGTGTCAGTTTTCCATTTGACAAGAGGAAGTGACAGTGGAGCAGAAAACAAATGCTGATAGGACTGATAAAGTAGCCAATGTAGAAGACAGTAAAACAGAGTGGCAACATGTGTAAAACTGTTTTGTCTTCCTCCAGTTTAAAAATCTTCCCCCTTTAAGGAGTAACAAGCCACTCTTGACTTCATTCTTCAGAGGTCTCTTTTTTTTTTCCTTTTTGATTTTATGAAAACATTGTCACTTTCTTTTTGACCCACATTTCAGTCTTTTTAGGTGACAGTGTGTTAACGTGCAGGTTGGCAGGAGACAGCACCTCCCAGAATGAAACACTGACCGGAGCAGGTGCCAAACGGTAATGGAAAAAAGTATGGAAGTGGATTAGGGCCGCCGTTTAAAAACAATCTGAGTTCTGACTTTTTTACCTCACAATCTCAGAATGTTCTCAGAATTTGAGTTTAAAGTCAGAACTCGGTTTTTACAGTGGCCCTAGTCCTCGTCTGGAGTACAAAAAAAGAAGCTATTTCCAAGGATGGAAAAAATTAAGATGTTGGGAAAAAGTTGCAAACAAATAAAAAAAAAAAAACTGCAATCAAAACAAATGTGTCGTGTTGATGAGAAGTTAGTTTAAAAATCACCCACAAGTGTCCGAAACATAAAGTGCAGGCAGTGTCTGTTCTTTGCCCAGCCCCCAGCCTTTAAAAGAGTCCAAGAGCGACCAACCCAAAAAAAAAAAAAATTTATAACGTTGACTTGTCAACAATCCTATCCACAGTAGGATCAGGCTGGGTTCCAGAGGAGTCTCTCGTTCAAGGCAGGGGTTGGATTTGGTTGTCACTTTACTAAAAGTACAACAAGCGCCACGTGGACACTCCCCACCTCCAACCAAATGCCTCCTTCGTCGCTGGGTTCATTCGACCCGAATGAGCAGCCCGTAGAGAAGTGTGCCACCCTGCTCCTTAGTCATCCACTCGATCTCCGAGTTGCTGAAGCGAGGGTCCAGGGACTCACTGTGGCCAAGTGTCTGAGGTCCCACTTTGTAGGAGCCTGGGCGCACACACACTTGGAATCCCACCTGAGCCTGGTGGCAGCGATGAGAACGAGGGTCCCGAAATCTGCGCCAGGAGAAGGACAGTTATCTGTAAGTGCTCTCTGTTGTATACTATCCAGTGAAGTGGTTGAAAATCCTAAAAAATGTTTTTTTTTTTAGTATTTCCACTCTAGGTTTTTGTGTGCACAAACTGCACGCCAGGCAGGTGATATGGGCACAAAGGCAAATTCAGTCATTTACAAATACAAACACAAATTGCAAATGTGGAAAAAAACGATTTTCTCTATGCAGTTCTTTAAAAAAAAAAATTGTTAGATGTATGTACACAGATCACCTGACACAGATCATGTTACGCTCTCTTGCAAGGTTTTGAGAGTATTTTCTTGCTCTCAGATTCACACACTTATGCTGCATTTAAGGACAGGTGGAAAAGGTGGACATTTGGCTTCTCAGGCTTTTTTCAAAAGAGAAAACTGCTCGTCACCCCTGGATTGCACTTTAATTACATACATATTTTAACGTAGAATTAAAGCGGTAAAAGTCATCCAGATTTTAAAGCAACACTACTGTGTACTGGGTGCAGAACCTCTGCTTTAGCACTACATGGCAACAGTAAAGTGGAATTAGCTGAACACAAACCATGTTGATTTCTGCTTACATCTGTCAGCAAAAACATATAATACCACATAGGCTATGGCCGTTATACCAACGTCTACTTAGGTAAAAAAAAAAAAACACCCTTGATTGACACCGTCTTCATCGTAGAAGTGTAACTTCAGTGTTGCACCTGCTAAGTAGGTCACTAAGCTAGCAGCACTGTTACCATATATTCTAAGATGAGCAGAGGACCTAACCTGTGGAATACTAATAATATAATGCAAAGATGTTCTGATTAGAGCAAAGTTAAAGCCACATGACATCAGAACATTCCACATTGATATATGTATTTGCTTAAAGTCCAGTCCAGGGGCAACAAGCAATTTTATCTCTGGAAGAAAAAGCCAACTGTCCGCATTTTCTATCTGTACTTGGACACAGCACACATTTGTGTTTCAGAAAATTGTCTAAAAACCTCGCAAGTCAGCGTAACTTGATCCCTGTGTGTTATGCAATCTGGGAAAAGACAATATGTAAACAAATTTTAAAGGACTACACAAAGAAAAGTGTTACACATTTGTAAATCTTGATCTTATTTCTAGACCAATGAACATGCATGTGTTGCTACTTGTAAGAGGATTTATGCTTTAGTGATTCTCCAAGTCAGATGGACTTACTGCACTTTGGGAGCAAAGACCTCCAAGCCGGAGTAACGCATGGTGGGGGAGAGCCGCACTCTGGGAATCTCCCTGCCGGGGGCGCTGTTCTCCTCTGGCTCACTGTAGCCGTTAGGCCCCTCCGCCTTCACCGGACACACTGAGAAGATGGCCGACGTCCCTGCAACAGTAAAATGACATTTACAGGCGAGTGCAGAAGCAAAGTGAGCTTAATGCCATTTTTTAACAACAGCTCAAGCAAATAAACCCATGTATCTGGAATGATGTCAAAATTAGTAAAAAGTACATGTCAGATCACGCACACATAAGCATTAATAATTACTTTGTAAGATTAAACACACTGGTATTTTGTCATTTTTTCTTAAAACCACTTCACAGCAGTTTTCCTCATCTACTTAAATTCAACATATTCTATTTCCTTTTTTTTCAGTCATTTGTTAAAATCTCTACTTGCTCTTCTATCAGTAGGAAAATCAGTTTCAAAAGTCTGTCGGCAGCTGTGGTATCAGTGACTAAATATTTCCTAGGGAGAACATGTCAGAGGCCCACTCTGATCTTCCTACCAGGCAGCAGCTGGCTGTGGTCCAGTGTGCGTCGCAGGGCTCCTACGCTGGTGCCGTGGTACGCAATGTGCCACTTCTTCAGTGCATTAGAAACCTCACAGTGGGGCTTGATCCTGCACAAAGAGGCCACATGCAGCTACAGACACACACGTCCACAGCAAATAAGCACAGTAACTAAACCTTTTCAGAAGGATTTTTTTGGACATTTTATCCTTCGTGGTTTTGTATTTACTGAAAGAATATGGAAGCAAGTCCCCGCCAAAATGTTTGAGAGCACAAACAGCATTTCGAGTGCTATTCAGTTTGCAACTTGGCATTTGAGAGCATTAAGGCACAGATTTGTAGGCGCAGAATCAGATCTGAGAGTGTAATCTCGGCCATGGTCTCGTTTGAGTCTGCGTCTCCACTCGGGTTTGTGAAACAGTCTGTCAGTGCCAAACTTTTTGAAAGTGCGTAAAACAAGTCACGAGTGTTATTCAGTTTGCAATTGTGAGACTGAGCAGGTGTGTATTTGAGAGCGAAGGAGGGTAGACTCATGAGTGTAACAAATGATTTGAGCAGGGATCCTCCCTCGATCAGTGTGATTCTGTTCTGCACTCTCAAATGCTGAGTTGCAAACTCCATAAAAGAATCAATTAACTGACCTTTCATGTCAGCAAACGAACTGTTCTGAAGACAAACACACGGGGACCTCTACAAGCACGGTCAATAATTATACGATCAAGGACTTGTTGTAGAACATAATGAATTAAAGGAATAGTCACTTATTCTATAAACTTTCACCCTGGTACTGTGTGAGAGTAAAGAGCTACAGCCAGTGGTAATACAGCAGTAGCTGAAGAGGTAAAACTCCAGCAATACTCGGAGTAAAAAGAAGTTTATTGTCAAACCAATGTGTTCTTTTTTCTACAGTGGTGCTAGAGTTTCTACCTTGGAACCCGCTGCTCTGTCATAACTACAGACTGATTAGCTTCTCCACCGCACAGCTCTAGAATCTATGCAACTTGAGAGACCGTCCTCTCACCTGAGGGTGAAGTGGCACCATCCGAAGGGCAGGGCGTAGTCCCGGGGTGGTTCACCTCTCTTGTAATACGCCTCATCACCTCGGAGCTTGTGGCAGGACTCACAGTAGCACAGGTTGTATTTTGCATCCTCGCTGAAGTAACCATCTTAACGAACAGACATCGTGATAGGTAAGTGATGGTAGTTCTTAGACCGAGCTCACAGCAGAAAGGCTCAATAAAAAAAACTCACCTGGCAATGTGAGCAGGTCCTTGAAGCGCGAGCACAACGCCTGGTACTCGCAGGTCTTGTTGGGGTTGACCTCTGGAGGTGGTGTCCAGCACACACACTCTTTGATTCCTGCATGTGAAAACACGGTTAGAGAAAAGAGATGCAACTTTAATGGCTGAAGAGAAAAGCTGAACAAGAACAGTAATCATTGGTGTTTTACCGTCAACCATGTCGGCCTTCTCCATGTCGCCCTGACAGCGGGCCTCACCACTCTCTCCACCCACAGCTGGCACGTTGTTTGTTACTATAGTAACCTGCCACAGTGACATGACGCTGATTAGCATATCATATTCAGGGTTGTGGTTCATAGTGTTGTAGGTTCATAGATTTCCTGAGTCCTTTAACATACACACATATACCAACTGTAAATTGTACCCTCCAAAGTTTGCTACTTCAGTGCTACCTTCACATGCGCTCACACACAGTGATAAACAGTAGTATGAAGACAATGGGAAGAGGTATAGCGAGGTACTGTTCAGTCACATGGTCTGCAGCAAACAGACTTCACTTGGTTCAGAATAAGAAAGCAAGATTAGTCTTAATTTGTTTGTATCATACTGTAAGAAGTGAAATGAATAAAAGACTGTCCTGGCTCCCTGTAGTTATTTCCAGATCAAACTAATAATTATTCACTGTGCAATTTAAAAATCCCTCATATTGGAAATTTGATCAGGTCACTTTAAATGGTCCCCTGAATGGAATAAGCTTCTTAATCTCTACTATATGACTTAACATCGTTAAAACTGTTTGATCACTGTCGTTTCTGTCAGGACACCAGGATGATTAGTGACTAGTGCAGTGGAAACCGATGCTGTGACATTTATCACCCTAGAAACTAGATGCTCAGATGTAACGGCTTAGCTCGTGTGTGGTGGAGCGTGTGCGGACCTGTTCACACTGGCCGTAGAGGTCAATGAAGGGGTAGCACGGTGAAGGAATGTCCTGTGCCGCCACACCCTGGTCCATGCCATTGACACAGAGATGGAGGCAACTGTTGGCGTCCACCAGCAGACCCAACACGGTCCCTTCCGGACAAGTATCCAGGTTAGGACCGTAGTTCTCACATATCTGAGGGAGGTGGGGGAAGAGAAAATGAGCCAGGAAACGACAGCAGTCTTTAAATCACAAGTTAGTTTGTCATGTTAAGAATCAACACGCCTTCAGTGTTACACATATTTTGTGTTTTTGTGTATGTTTACCTTTAGGGAGTTGTGGAAGACAGAGTCTCTCTGCAGCAGCCAGGTGGAGCGTTTCAGACAGCACGCTGTGGAGGGGAAGTTGAGCCGGTCGGGGGAGTGGCCTATCACCCCCAGTGACAGCGACGACGTCCATGACGGGTTCAGGCGGTCGATCTGGAACTGGAGACCAAAAACAAGCTGTTGACAGACTGGAACTGTACAGAAGTGTGTGTTTGTGTTCCTATGATAAGGTACATTGTACTGTCCTCTGAGTACCGTGTTAAGCTGTTAAGCAATCTCAGGTACAGAAATACGAAAACCGAGGTCAAGTGGTCCTTTAACTGTATTCAAATAAGTTATCAATAAACCACATCAGACTACGTGACGTTTGTTCCAGAATCAGGTACCTGAACCTAAACCAGTTACACCGCTTTCAGCCAATGAAACGTGCAGTACCTGGAACAGCTGCTGGCGAGCCAGCGGCTGTGCAGTGACCAGCAGGCCCTGGTTGTAGCTTGACACTCTGGCTGCTGTCAGGTTCTGGTTTGACAGCTGGATGTTCTTGCCATGATTTTCCAAGAACGCCATGATGGTCGGCACCAGCGTGCACAGCTCGGTCTCAACCTGGAGGTGGCAAAAGGTGACAGAGTTGGAAATTGTTTGAGAAAATTAGGCAATACAGCGCTCAACCCTTTGACAGAGGAGCTATGAGCCTCCCACCTCTCTGACAGGAGTCGTGTCCTCCTCTCCTTCACTGCAGCTGTCTGAGGAGAGCAAAGGCGTTTTAACACTTTCCATGTCCTCCATCAGCGAGGAGCTGACAATGGACACCGCCGTTATCCGCCCGTACAGGTCCAAAACTGCGTACACATTCTGCAAGGAGCAGGAGAGGGATGATGAGCAGCAGGTAGCTTTTTACTGCAGGTATCTATGTGGATGAGTGAGAGGAAGGTGTGTGTACCTTGGCCACTGCAGTCGCTGCAGGTCCCATGTCTTCTCCATCAATGAAGATGTGCATGGTGTCATCACTGCACCTTTTCACACCCACACGGTTCCCGACCTGGAAATGTACATTCAGTCTTAAGCTCTATTGTCTCAGGTCTGTAGTGGACAGACTACAAAATAAGATCTCTCTCCTTCACAGAGCTCAACATTTATTTCAAGCTGCATCTACACAAACATTTTGCTGGTGTAAATTGCAAAGTTGGAAGTTTAATGTTTTAAAGAGAGGAGAATTAAAATATGGCTTTAAGAAAACAGACTTCATGCAGAAGAAGTGAAAAGTTTGCATCCAAAGATGTGAAAAGATGTAGATCCTAATTTCTGTCTACAGCGGCCATCTCAAAGCTCTGACAACATCTTGAGTCTCAAGTCAGAGCTTTGAAGCAGCGAGAGGGGCTTCATCAGTGGATCTGAGCCAGAGGTAGCGACCACACACATACGACCTCTAAAAGATCCAACTGTTTTTGTATTGACTAACAGGCAGTTGGAGTGATGTGCTGTTTGTCCTGTTCTGAGGCTCAGTATACGGCTCAGAGAGCAAGGACTGCAGCTTACTGTCAGCCGGTCCAGCGAGCAGCCGTAGTTCTGGCGCTGCAGCACGCCATTGCGACGGACCTCAGAGCCGCAGAGCAGCCAGGTGACCTTGGTTCGAAGCAACGGGAGGGAGGGGGAGAGACCTGACAGCGGACAGGACGGCAGCTCCGGCGGTGCCAGTGTAGTCAGGCCTATGTGCAGCGAACCGCACCACTGCTCATCCACTTCATCAATCCTCACCTGCAGGGTGACAAAGAGAGAGAGAGAGACGAGAAATTGAGGAGATAAACAAGTAGCACCGTTTTTATTTGGGAGACAATCTGATCTCTGTGGCACATTATTAAAAGACATAAGACAGGTAGCATCTTCTGGTAAACTGGCAGCTCTGAGTCATCTCTTGCCTCAAACAACTCATCCGCTTTGAGCTCCTTCACACTGAACACGATGCCGTGAGCGTAACCTCCAACTCTGACAGCCTGGCAGCCCTCGCCAAGCAGCACCACGTTTTTACCGTGTTTACTGTGCAGCCGATGGGAAACACCTGCTACTACACACAAAGCAGAAAGATACACCGGAGGCTTAGAAGACAAAAATAAAGAAACACTTTGATTTTACTCTCCTTCTTCCAACTTTAATTTCTTCATATTTGATCAATAAAACAAATGTGTGTGTGTGTGTTCTTAATCATCTTCCATTTCAGAGTCTCAAACTTTTAAACAAGTCTACACACAACACTTATTTCCCCAAACCTTTTACATACTCATTATTCAACACCAGTACTTACATGGTTGGACTTTGTTTTCAATGTGTTTCTCTGACTGTGTAAGGACCGTGCCGTGTACCTGGTGAGTGGGTGGGGAAGCTCTTCTCAGTGACGTTGCTGGTACAGAGGCTGTTGTCCAGTGGGCCCGAGGAGCTGGTGATAGACACCTGGACACACTGACCGTACAGGTCAATCACTGCATACACCTCTGGGAGAGACATGCATTAAATAAAGTTACCACACAGTCCGAATTCAAGCCAGAGCTTCTGGAACTTAATGTGTTTGTAAGTCTTGATTTCACATTTTGACTATTTAGTGTTTTTTTGTTTTGTTTTTTTTTACCTGGTGGGAGACCGGAGCAGGCAACACCTTGGTCCATGCCGTTGATGTAATAGTGGAGGTCGCTGCTGGCTGAGCGCATCATGCCGATCCGTGAGCCCGTGGTCAGGGAGTCCAGGTCACAGCCGTAGTTGTTACGCATCGTGTTGCCATCCTGCATGATGGCTGTCCCACTGTTTAAAAACACGATGACTAAATAAAGGTTCTGAGATGAGGATTTAACATCTGTGTGTCTGGCTGAGGTTTTGGAGGCAACACCAACCACAGGTGGAAAAAAGCATTTGAATCTGTTACCGCGCTTCCTTTTACACTTCTTACGATAATTACTGAATAAAGTCCTAAAAAGTCAGGTTTATGTCTGTTTATGTTTTATGGTTAATCTGCAGCCTAGACACGTTACAGAACTACATTTTATACATTATCCAGATTATGGCAAGGCAGAGCATATAATCAGAGTGTTTGAAAGCATTTTATTTACGATATATAGAGGGACAGCGACACACTATTTGCATCGCATACAGTTTGTGAGGATTACACGATCCACCGAGAGGCACAGCAAAGTGCTGCCTCATCGTGCATCTCCTCCATGTATTTGAACGGGACATACGGAAATTCTGCTATTCTTTATTGAAGAAAAAAAAAATCCTTCAACATCGGATTCGAAAGGCTAAAGGGCCTACAACACACACCAGCCCACAAATATTAACATTTATTATGTTTTGGTTAACTTTTTTTTCTTTTCGCCCCCCCCGACCGCACGTCACTGTTAAGGAACAACAAGATATACAAATACATGCTAATACTTTGTACCTGAGCATCCAAGTGTCATAGTCGATATCAGTCATAGTGTTTGGAAACTCGAGCTCCTCCGGCCTGATGGCTGTCACTCCTGGACACAAGGGGGGGTACAGCAGTAGTGATTACACATGAAATACATACATTTGTCATTTCAACATGTTGTTATAAAGGTAACCCAATTAGCTGGACTCTTTAGAGGACACAGCAGAAACCTTACCTGCCTCTATTGAACCCGACCAGCGGTCCACCATCTTCTGAATGACGATTTCAAACAGCTCCCCATCTCGAAGGCACCTACCATAAGAAGCATACAAGTTCAAATCTTCAGCAGCTTCATCAGCACCAACATTCTCAATGCTGTTTAGTCTCTGCTGCAATGTCATGGGAAAAGCATTATGCTAAACAGATGAAGCAGCTTCTGGATCCGTTGATTTAGTCAGACATCACCTATTTGTATCTGGTGACTTCTTACTGATATCAATTAGTAGTTGTGGATAACTTTACCAAAAAAGGCCTTGTATGTATCATACTTACTCCTCTTAGAGCTCAAAAATGTCTCACGATTGTGGAATACTTCAACATACTACAGTCTGTCCAACAAATTAGACTTCACTGCCACTGAGTTACCTGCATGAAGATAAAACTACAGCACAGCAGCTGATGGGGAAACCTATTAGGAAACTGACAACTCACTGCAAAACCTGAATCAATGCACTGGAGCACTGGCATCAGCAAATATCTTAGCTACAGTTAGTGCACCTGTTACTAGATTTTATGATCCGCTATTCCTTGTATTTTCTTTCATCACCTGTTAGAAATGACAATAGCGTCGTTGAACTCGCTGCGGCAGTTCTGACGCAGGGCAGTGCGCCCCCCATTGGTGATGACGGCGTTGGTGCCATGTAGGTGGTGGAAACGCAGGTCACTGGTCGTGATGGCCCCTGCAACTGAGCAGGGGCTCCCAGGGGACAGGGCTGTTGGGCCCTCTGAGCTGTCCTCTGGGAGAGGGGGCAGGTCAACTAAGAAAGGGGGAGGAAAAGAGGGGAAAAGTAAGATGCCTGGTCAATTATTTCAGCATCTTGGCTCCTCCAACTGGAGCCCTGTTTCTCTGCTGGTCTCTTACCCATGTCATCCATGATGGTGGCCTGAGCAGCCTGCCCGTAGAGGTCGACCACAGCGTAGACGCTGGGAGGGATGTTCCAGGCTGCTGGGCCCTGAGCCACACCATTGACAAAGAAATGGAGGCTGCCATCTTCTTTCCGCACCACGCCTACTGTGTCCCCTGCCTGCAAGAAGGAAAGACCAGAAAAAGGTCAGAACCCTTACAGAAGGAAGGAGGAGGGCAAAAAGGCAGCTGAACAATAAAAACCAAACATCATTCACTTTGAGCCGGTCAAGGTTGTGTCCATATTCATCCAGTATCGTAGTTCCATTGTGCATCACGCCATTCCCCGTCATCATCCACGTCCCTGGAAATCATCACTCACTGGTCAACAGCTAGCTCAATAGAAACTAAAGCTGAAAACATTACCCAGCTTAAAAATGATTTTATTGTCCTCTCATTCTACCTGAGCGCAAGTTTGTCATGGTGGAGGGCAGCTGCAGGTAGGCGGGGTTGTGCGTCGTGACACCAATTTCAATGGAACCCGCCCACTTGTCCACCATCTTGTCGATGCGAACCTGGAAAACCTCATTGGAGCGCAGCGGCCGGCTGCTTAGGACCACGCCATGATTGAAGTCATCAGTCGCACTGTGGAAACAGCAACGCACACATTTTTTTATACACCTACAAATACTAACACAAAATGAAACCACTCCACTCTAGAGTGACACACAGTGACCGTATCCTGGTCCTAAACCTTTTTAGACCGTCACAATCACCATCACTTAAAACCTTGCACACACATTTTGCCTCAGACAAATCTGATGAAAAACTCGTTATTGATACATTTAAGGGTTTAAACTGGTGTTTAAGTTAAAATAAAAAAAAATACTCAAACAGGTTTTTGCTGTTGATATGTTTTTAGATCACACAAAACTTAAATACAAACGTTAAAAATATCCAGATGCCACAACATACGATTCTCCAGTTGTTAAAAATAGAGCTGTTTAAGCTTTTAAGGGCAATAGAATCTGTCAAGATGTAGCATGTACAGAATTAAAATGCCTGTAATTAATTAACAATCAGGGCAGGAAGTGGACTTACTGTGGCCGCAGCGCTGTCCTGCCATCGCTGATGATGGCGGCCTTCTGGCCACAGTTAGAGTGGAAGAGCAGGCGCTCAGGCAACTCTGTGTCCGGTGTGAGGGAGAGCGCTGGCCGGGGCCGGCCCACGTCGGGCGAGAGAGCTCTCATGATGGCGTTGTTGCGTCTGAGACGGTCACTGTGGTTGTGGTTGTGGACTATGGTGACTTTGACGGCCATGCCGTACAGGTCGACCACGCCGTAGACCACGCCAGGGGTCTGGGCGGCAGCAACACCTGGGAGAAACACCAGGTGGTTGGAAGTGACCTCTGACAACAGTATTTTTTTAAATTAATTTTTTATGTCAAACACAGATGAAGATTTGACTACATTTAATATAAATTTGTACATAAATGCAGGTAATTCCAAACAGATCGCTGCCACTTTAAGTACGAAGGTAGCACCTCTTCAGTCACATCTTCTTATTCTTGCCAATACTACCAACAATCTGTTTATGACTATTATGTAGAGCTTTTATTTTTATTAAGTCAGTAATAATTATGTAAAGCATCACAGGGTAGCAAACAATGTATATTAATAATTTTACAAACAGATATGTCCATATTTAACTTGGCCTCATCTTAAACCACCATCATCATGTCAATGTGACCACCCACGCCCGGCCAGTCCTCCCCTGGCTCTGGGCTGATGAAGCCCCTCCATGTGTCTCACCTTGGTCGATGCCATTGATGTAGAAATGGAGCGCTCCGCTGGCTTTGCGCATCAGCCCGATGTGATCTCCCTCCTGAGAGCAGGTGATGAAGAGCACAGTGACAGATTTACTGACATAGTCAGTGTGGGTGTGAAGGTGCTGTGCTGTGTGTGTGGTAGCAAACCTGAAGTTCATCGAGGCTGAATTCACAGTATTCCCTGCGGGTTCCTTTCCCATTGGTTAGTATCCCACAGCCACTCATCATGATTGTACCTGATATAACAACACAGAGCAACAACGTTCATTTCACAGCCACTGCCCCTCTTCTTGTTTACTGCTGTTCCTGCTCATCTTCATGTGTTCGTTACCTGAGCGCAGATTGGTCATAGTTGCAGGGTAGTCCAGGTTGTTGGGATTGTGCGTGGTCACACCGATCTCGATTGAGCCTGACCACTTGTCCACCAACTTATCGATGCGGATCTAAAAACAAAGCAGACAATTTCAATTTCCTGTGCACTAACACATGATTTTAGCCATTTCTTCTCTGTGCAGAATACACATATAAATGATTGTCTTTAAGTCCTATAGGCTGAGTTACATTTTCCTAAACATTTATTTAGTCTTTTATTGTGCCTTTAAGCACCAACATATTAACATTAATAATAAGTTTTCATAAATATTTACTGGTTCAGACATCAAAAACATTCAACAATGAATTCTAAATCAAATACTTTATTAAGAAAAAAGCTACAATGTGCTGCTTCTGCATAATAAATATCATTTTATATGTGAACCGAGTTGTGGACTGCTTGTTAGAAAAATATTTACTAAACAAAAAGACTAATCAGTTCATTAAAACAAAAATAATAATTAAAAATCCAAAGACCCTGAAGTCCTAAAAGACAGGACATGAATAGAGTCTCAATAAAAGAACCACCACCACCAAAAATGATCATTAGTCGCAGCCCTACTTATGATTCATCTGTCATATTATCAACATGACAGGATCAGCAGATTTCATTGTCACTACCACTCATTTCAGACATTCATTCTTGTTTGAGCGAACAGTCACAGCCCAGCTTTGACCCAAGTCTGTCATCACCTCAAACATCTCGTTGTGCCGCAGCGGCCGGTTGGTCATCACCACGCCGTTGTTGAATTCATCCAGTGGTCTCCTCCGCTCCGCCGTCTTGTTGTTGTTGCTCAGCTTGATCAGTGTGCCGCACTTCTCATGGAACAACAGAGCATCATTGGTTGTCATCATGCCTGCAAGAGCCCCGAGCCCCGCCCCGCCATTTCCAGCAGGACTGTTATTAGTATTTCCACCTTCACCACCACCAGTAGCAGCTCCTCCTCCTCCACTGCCTCCTCCTGGCCCTGTCCCACTGTCTCTGTTTATCACACTTCCTCCTCCACTGCTGCTGCTGCTCCCCCTGTCGTTTCTCGAAGAGGATTCAGTTCCTGCATTTCCTCCTTCTCCTCCTCCACCATCTTCCCCTCCACCCCCATCCTCAGAGCGGTAAAAAGATACTATCGCATTGTTGAACACGTCAAAAAGCTGGTGCTCCGTTAGAACTAAGGACAGACAGAAAGATGAGGGTGGTTGTCAGTGCTGATGTGTACATCAGCACATCAACTGATCTGAGGAGGGTTTTCTTACCTGCATCAGGCTCCAGGTTGTTGGGGAACTTGTCTGGTCTGCTCTGACTGCAGCTAAGTTCAGGCACTGATGGGCAGAGGAGAGAAAGAAACACAATCAGATGAAAAGTACGTATGCAACCCCAAATACTACACAGCTTGGATTTAAGAAGCACATGGATAAACACACCCCCTACCTTCACCTCCATTCACTGCTGTCACATTCATTGGTGCTTTGATCCTGACATCCTCACCACCGCAGACCACCACTTCTTCTTCTTCTTCTTCTTCTTCCTCCTCCTCATCTTCCTCCTCCTCCTCCTCCTCCTCTATTGTCTCTCTGTCCCTCTCTGCAGAGGGCGACGGTGGCTCACAGCTCACCACTGTCACTTGCGTGCACTTTCCATACAGATCCACCACTGCCCAGAGCTTGGGCGGTAAGCCACTGGCAGCCGCACCACAGTCTTGCCCGTTAACCCAGAGGTGGAGCTCCCCGTGGGAGTTGCGCTGAATGCCCACGCGGTCGCCCTCGGCTAGCTGGTCGAGGTCGCGGCCATATTCCTCCAGGACCGAGCGGCCGTCACGTAGCACCGAGCAGCCTGACACAATCCAGGAGCCGCCCTTAAGGCCTGTGGCGCTACTGGGAAAGTCCAGTGTAGCGGGGTCCAGAGCCGTCACACCGATCTCAATGGAGCCACTCCACGAGTTTACCTGAGGGGAAGAGGCCATAAGCATCATTAATATCTACATTATCAGCCATTTATCTGTTACATTTTTGATAAATATTAACCACTCAGTAAATATGATATTACAATTTAGAGACACTGGCAACTGTAGTAACAGATCCAGAAGGAGACAGTATTAACAAAACAGTTGTCAGCAGCTGTTACTGCAACCACAAAGCAAGTCTGCTGTGATGTAGGAGTTCCTGCTCAATGAGCTGCTGTGCCTTGTTGTATGATCCATCTTGTTATTTTTAGTTGCATCAGTGCAGAATGCAGCTCAGTCAGCACTGCTTTGAGAGGAAAGCAGGATGAGGTGGACACACAAGAAACTTAGAAATGGAAAGTCAGCTACAGTAAGTGACAACAACTGTAGTAGCGGCTACCACATTTTTAGCAGGATCCACAGTTTCTCATTGCAAGTTCTCTCATTAAAGAACAGAGCGATGTTGCTAAATCACAATGTAGCATCCAACTTCCCAAGTGGGATGTTGAATTCATAATGATGCAGAAAGGCAGTTGTGCACATAAACTCCAGAAAAACGTGGAGTGTATCAGATCGTTCTAACATCACAGTCACCTGATTAAACAAATGTATATGTAGGACTTAAGATCCTCAGGGTCATACTGGAAGTTGTGTATTTGTTTTGTTTGATCAGATGGCCATGATATACACCTTGTCCTTTGGCAAGACACATAATAGCATCATTTGATGTTAGTGTCTTCCTCTGTATAGTGGCTGAAAAAATAACACGATGATTAACTACCAGCACTCTTACAACACAAACATCTACGTGATTTGATTTGATTTATTCTTTCAAGCATGTAAAGACAGTTGATATATCAACACACATAATTTTACACATATCCAACAAATGCTAATCCAATATCAATTTGCTTATACCTAGTACATGCTTGAATGGAGTAGGAAGAAGTCAGACTTATCCAGTCCTACCCCATGACATCATCTTACATCATTGGTTTGCAAGCAGTATCTCTACATAAATAATTCTCTTCTACACCACACAAGTAATATACTAAAAAAATATAACAGTGTTAACATTCTTACATAATTACAT